GGTTCTAGAGGGGAGGGGGTGGGGGGATGGGTTAGCCTGGTGATGGGTATTAAGGAGGGCACGTTCTGCATGGAGCACTGGGTGTTATACACAAACAGTCATGGAACACTACATCAAAAACTAATGATATAATGTATGGTGATTAACATAATAAAAAATATTTGCTTTATGTATTTAGGTCCTCCTACTTTGGGTACATAGATATTCACAATTATGATATCCTCTTGTTGGATTGACGCCTCTATCACTATGTAGAGCCCTTATTTGACTCTTGCTACAGTCTTTGTTTTAAAGTTTATTTTGTCTAATATAAGCATTGCTACCTGGCTTTTTTTTTTTTTTGCTTCCATTTGAATGGAATATCTTTTTCCATTCACAAGGGTTATCCTTGAGTAAAAGGTACATCCCTTTCTTTGAGATGGAAGGACATTGGATGTGAGGATGGTATTCATGGTTGACAGTCTTGACTTTCTCAGTGAAAGACAGTCTCATCCTTCTGCTGAATGAGGACATGATGAGGCTTATGTAGACTTTAAGGAATGTGAGGAGAGCTGCCTATGCTTGCATCATATATTTGTAGTTTTCTTGTTTCATTTGTCATCTTTTTTGGTGATAGCCCACTGTCTGGTACGTACTATTTAATTAATGTCTAACTGACCTGAGTTACACAGCACTTCCATGTATAGTGGGGAGGGGGGGTTCCGACACTGGATAGGTTGAATTCGATTTCTACTAGGTTGAAGCTGTACTCACTGGAATTCAGTCATTATTCAAACAGTATTTCATTTTTGAACACCATGTGTTAAGTCGTGGTGCTAGGTACTGGAATACAGTGAACAATATGGCATTTTACATTAAATGACAAAATCAGTTAGGTCCTTTTCACGTTCATGCTGATGGGTTTCTATTTAGAAGACTAAGTGTACTAAGTGTCTAAGTGACTGTCCAGTGTACTTTTTCTTTGACACTTCTGCAGTCACAATGACCCTTCCCTGCTTACTGCAATCTTTTTCTCTTCCTGCTTAGACACTGCACTCTCCTGATTCTTCCCCTGACTACCTTAGTGTCCTTTCTCTTTCCTCCCCCCTCCCCATTATAATATTGTGCAATCATGAGCCCTTTTGGCCACACTCCTTTTTGTAGATGTCAGCCACTACTTCAAGTGGATGACCTCCAGACCTCTATTACTTATTCTGAGCTATCCTCCAAGTTGCACACTTCTCATTTTCCAACTGTTGACTGCATTTAGACAATTTACCTTTTCTTCAAATTCAGTACGTCTAAACCTGAACTCATGATCTTTCTTTCTTCTCTGCATTCTTCACCCCATCCCACTCTACCCCTTTTCCTGTATTCCTGGCCTACTTCTGTCAGTTCTAAGATTGAAAACTTAGGAGCATCAAAAGCCTGGGAGTCTTGCTTCATATGGTTCTTCCCTTTGAAGATATCCCTCTGAGGTTCAGTTAAAATAGAACTGAATAAGGAGATGGATGTCGCTAAAGCTTTCACATCAGCAAGGCCTCCTGTAACCAGGTCCTGCGTGTGGTTTCTCTTTTGCAGAAACTGCCATATAAGAACCCAGCTCACCTTGCTCAGCAACAGCAACCCTGGAGTCGGCTCAGCTCAACTCCCACAATCTCCTCCATGAGGCGGGATGTTTCTTTTTTTGATCCTGAGGTACCTAGCATTGAAATGCTATTTCTCTTTAATCTGCTTAAAACTCATATCTTTTTTGAAAGGTAGTCTGTCCTTCATGGCATCAGCATCTTTATTTTGTCCCCAGCCCAAGGTCCTACCAAATCTAAAACCTAACAGCAATTTATCTGGGCTCTGGGGAGTCAGAAGGCTTGTTTTGCTCCAGTTGACTATCTGGAGCAAATAATTTTCTCACCAGACTTTTCACTCTTCTGATTATAACCATAAATGAGGTAAGGCCCATTAAGCCCAAGTGAAGAACAATATGATTTCCGTATCTCCTGTGAGAGCTCACCCCTCATTATACTGACAAGAGTTAAAATGTCTTTGGTATTTAAGGAGTACAGGCCCAAAACCCCTTTTGGGGTAAAAGTAGAGCCCAACAGAACATGACTAGAGTTTGGGTAAAGGTAGCAAGTTAACCCTGGGGGGACTGACTTCCTCCGTAGATACCAAAGGATAACCTGGATTTCTGCTTAGCAGCCTTGTACAACCACCACACAGGGACATTCAAGAACAAAAGTGAAATACTCTTACACCAGGAGACCACCCAGGATACCCATGGGTAAGTGGTGGAGGCAGAGCCTCTCCACCCTAAAGACAATGCCATCCAGTCATGTAAGGTAAAGTGTCACCTGGGAAATAACAAAGATAATCAACAGGAACTCATTTGTATACACATTTCTGTGCTTTTTACATCTGTATCTATAATGCAATTTCTGTATTTTTATTAACTAAAACAAACAGAGATCCTCCAGCATTGTGATCTGTATAAACAAAATCTTCAGTTAATTCCCAGAGGGTAAAAAGGGCCTTTGGCTGCATTATTTCTGAGGCTGCATGCAACTATCTTGCCCTCCTCTCCTTTCTTCTTCTGATTGATTTCACTCTCCCTGTTCTTCCCCATACCATCTCCTAGAATCATCAAGACCCAATTCCCTGGAGAACTTTTACCCCCTCCTCCGCCACCTTCCATCACTTCCCGAGCTAACATCAGACACTGGATCAACCCTAAGAAGGAGTCTATCCACAGCATCCAGGGATCCATAGGTAAGGGTTAGAAGACTGGATGGGCAGATGGGTGGTACAAGAGTTTTTTAAAATTGACCTAGGAATCAGGGAGTTGAGGTGATTGGTCATTAGGGAACTTCAGGGATAACTGAAGGTCTTGGAATAACAGTGACTAAGTGGGCACATTATCAGAATATCAGAGGACATACTGCCTAAAGCTAGGAAATGAATTCACTCATTTTTCAGATCTTTTAACTCAGCTTAGGTCTAGCAGACAAAAGGTCTAGCAACGGACAGAAACCTGGGAGTGGAAGACCTATAGCTATCTCCCATCAGTCCTCTCTATAGGCCAGTTTCCTCAGCAATACAAGAACCTCCACAATACCCAGAAATGTATGGATGATTACAGGTTCCCAGAAAAGGCAAAGGATTTGAAATTCACAGCCTACCCCGTTCTCTTTTCTCCACAGTGTCCCCTCACACTGCAGCCACCAATGGAGGCTACTCCCGAAAGAATGATGGTGGCTTCTTCTCTACCTAATGTTGACAGGTCCCTGGACTAAATTAATCATAATGGAACATCCTGCTGCCCACCTCCATTAAATAGAATTGTGCTGGATGAAGCCTCAAGTGTGTTACCCATGGACTTAAGAGTTGCCACTTGACTGCTCTTAAAATGTGGGAGGGAAGTTTTCCAACTTCTAGAAACTAGTCCTGCTGGACATATTTGCAATTTGGAAAGTCATCTTGCTGAAAAGCTAAGGATTTAGAACAAAACAGCACATGGGGCACCTTTGTGGCTCAGTTGGTTAACCATCTGACTCTTGGTCTCAGCTCAGGTCTTAGGTCTCGGGTCGACTTTAGGCCCCACATTGGGCTGGGTGTGGAGCCTACTTAAAAACACAAAACAAAAAACAGTACTGTGTTTGGCAGGGGACAGGTATTCATATTTTGTAAACTGGACTCATTCCAAACATAGAAATATCCATTCAACATTTCTTGCAAACTTGTATGTCAGCCACTGAGCTAAGTGTTGGGGGAACAAGAGTGGACATAGCTCATTCTCTTAATGAGCTTACCACACCATAATTCTGGTAACTCTATGTAGCGTTAACGTTTATGCTGAGGTCACACTTAACATATTTCAGACCTTCCGGTTTTAGTCATCTGCTGGGCTCTACTTTTCCATAAGGGTTCCATCTTCCTGGACCTGGCTCCTTGCCACTGTTCATTCTCTTATTTTGCTATCTTCTTGCCTGGGAGTCCATTCTTTTTGTCAGTTTGTGCTGTGAAATACAGCTCTTGATTCTTATAAATGTGGTTCAACAACCTGGTGCTTGGGCTTGAAGGTACCTAAAAACATGCATTAATGTGGTTTCTAAAATTATAAGTCACTCAGGGGAACCTGCTGTTAGATTGGGCAAGAAATTGCAGATCTTTCCTAATATTGCAGGGTAAATTCCCATTTCTAAGTTTGGACAGCATATGCATTGTTGAATAATTCAGAGATGAAAGAGTTTCTTCCTGTTACTCAGGTACAGGGTCCTTAAATTCCATCAAACTATCGCAGTCCCTCTTCCACAGAGATACTCCAACCTATTCAGATAATATCTGCTGCCAAGTGGCAATATCAAATTTCAGTTCTCATTATTTAGAATGGCTGAAAGTGACAGGGGTGACTCTCTGGCTAATCATCTCATGCACGTTGATACTAAATATTAAAAAATTTATTACCGTGACCCATATACATCGATGCTTTTAAAAATAGACTCATAGACTGCCCTAATAATTCTAATTCAGTAAATCTGGGGCGGGTCCCTGGAATCTTAACTCTTATAAGCTCTGCAAGTTCTCTTATGGAGAAATATATATATATATATAACATATATATATATATATATATATAACATATATATATATACATGTGTAACCTTTAGCAGCAGACGCTGTACAGGGGGGCACCAGTGTTAGTACCACACAAAGGGCCATCACACGTCGGGCCTAAACGAAAAAAGGGAAGAGACTAAGGAAAAACACTGCAGCAGCAAACAAGGCTTCCGTGCCCTTCCTGCTCCCGCAGTTCGGGCGACGGCTCCTTCACCCCCGCTTTCGCCCCCCAACGCCGGGGCCCGCCGCCAACTGTTAACGCTTAGCCGCGCCCCGGGGCCGGGCTCAGATCAGAATCGCCTCGATAATCATTGGCCCGGGACAAGCCCGGCCTCGTCTATCTGATCAATTCATCACTTCTGAGCGCCGGGCCCCGTAAGACCGGCTCCGGGACCACGGCGTTACCGCCGCCCAAGGGGCCTCGCTGCACAGCGCCCCGATGAAGGGGCTTCGCAGGAGGATAACTTTTCATCTCGGGTCGGCCCGGCGGGGCTAGGGTCACAACCCGATCAAATAAGATCAAGGTGTAGGCGGGGGGAGGGGCTCAGGGACGGGCACACGCACTCGCCTTGCACGCCCCATGCGCACACTCACACATTCGCGTGTCCACTCACTCAGCCCACACGCGCTTCCACGCAGCATCGCACCACAACACAAACCACCCTCGCCCCAGGCCGCTCTCCCTCTGGGAAGAAAGCGGACGTCCGCACCCTCTTTTAAATTCCTCCGCCCCCTCCTCTGCCTCGGAGGGTTCTGGGAAGAACCACTGAGCACAGGCTCTCGTCCGGCATGCGCTCTGCTGCCCCCGCGTGGCTCGGAGGCGAACCCAGGTGCCGGAGAAAAGCTGAACAAATTTGCGCAATACTAAATCGTGCTTGTCTTAATGATCTTTGTGCAGGGACATATTTATATCCGTATCTGTAGTTTTCCTTTGATCTTTGACCCGAGTTTTTGTCCCAACTTCTGAATATAAGATGATTCAGTCTTAGGAGATTTATAGGTGACTGCTTTCCCATGGAGAAGGCAAATCCTGGTCATTAACCAGTATCAGCTTCCCCAGGAGCTCCTTCCCCCAGGGGAGACGGAAACCATCATTTTACCAAAGGGAAAGGTGAGAATAGATTATTTAAAACCAATGTCTTGGTAGTCAGGATAACTGTGAAATGAATAGAGGTAGGAAGGCATATCCCTGTCATTTACAAGAGCCCCCTGGCTACCGAGAACTTGATGCTATGGCAGTCATATTGCTGAACCTTCACTTACTTTCAACTTTCAAACTCCCCAATGAGTAGTGAAAAAAAAGTAGTGATTATATAATGAGAATTAGCTCCTTTCACATCAGGGAACACAATTTTAATGTCTCAGTTTCTTCTTTCTCCTTCTTCAATGAAAAAGGTGTATGTGTGGGTAAATCAGAAGAACTTGGTGAATTTATAATTTGTAACTGCCAGTTCCACCACACACTTGAAATAAATAAATAGGGGGAAACTATCCATTTATGTGCCGGAATCCCATTGGCTGAAGGATTTTCTAGGTGCATGGCTGGTTAACCTGATAACCTCATTTCAATGAAGAAGTTTATGGCTGGTAATGGCAGATAATATTTGTATTTTAATAGCAGTGGTAGATAAAATGTATTGAGTGTTATCTGCCTTACTTAACATACCTCAAAACTTATTGGTATATACATGCTTATATATATAAGCTGATACATGTTATCAGCTCCCTCAAAGGAGAAAACTACACCTTCATAAATTCTGAACTATTATATATTTGGTGACCATCACAAGGGGTCAACAAGAATAATGATATTCACTAATGTAAACTAAAAAGGTATACTTGGGTAGAACCAAGGGAAGTATTGAACAAAGTTCAATGAATTGATCATGTGACAAATAAGTGGACAAAAATGGTAGGGAAAGAAATTTTATTTTCAAGAATTTGTGCAGACAATGGTGAATAAAAAACTGTATTAAACTATAAAAGGCTGACTTCATTCCACCCTGGCATTCAGGGTTTATGGTGATGCCAGTTTGAATCTGAGGCAATACTGCTATCCCCCTTCCTCCACCCCTAAAAAACTCCCTCAGAGGAACAACTTCCTACCATTTTCAGTTGAAAAACATATGACACATCAACCAAAGTAATGAGTTAAACAGCCTTCTGCTTATCTGCTTACATAAAGGCAAGAAATGAAATAAGCTGTGTATTTGTTTCTTGCTGTAAATTACCTTCATTCTGTGCACTTTTTGGTACATTCTCGTAGGAAAACATCTCAAAATATAACAATTTAGGTCAAGATGACTCATCCGGGAGGCTGTAAAAATTGGTTTCAACAACTAGAACTGTGAAGTGAAGCAGCTCTCCTCACCAAGCTTAGAGACATTAGCCCTACTGGAAAACAAGTCATTAAAGCTACAAAGTAACAAGTGCAAAACATGCTGAACCTTTATTTCCAGGGAATAACGTTCCTGCTGGTCAACAGGTCCCAAACACACCTACAAGGTGTAACTCTTCCTTTCTGTTCCAATACATGTCCTTTCCCTTGTGTGAAAGATCCTCAGAAGTGACAATGGAAAACATATAAATCATTGAAATTTACCCTGCAGGCCAATTCTTGAAGAGACAAAAAAGCCACAACTCTGAGATGATTAGATATGTAGTGTTTACTTGAGGACTTTTTACACCTTTAGAAATCCTCAAAGCACTAAACTGTCTATATCAGAACCTAAACTTCCTAGCAGCTTTTCTTTGGGGAAAAGACAAAAAGACAATTTCCTGCCACACAGGGGTCAACCACAACTAACTTGTCCACCGTCAAGTTTTACTGTAACGGACAATTCAATTTGTTCCTATGTTGATGCCTGCTCTTTACAATAATTTTAGGCCAACACTCTCTCTTTTTAAATGGAGAATTCTTCCCTTCAAATGTTGAGTCATCTAAAATGATTTGTGTAAGAATTACCATATCCATAGAAAAGCCCAGTAATCTCCATTGCAAACATGTTTTCCTTTACTTTAGAAAACACCCTCATTTTATTCGTGGATTCTGTGAACTTTCCAAACATGCCCATGAATATCAGCAACTTCTCTCACTCATTTGAATTTATCATGTTCTTATAATACAAAGAATTTCCAAGAGATAGCTAGAGAACTGCAATATGCGGAAAACTAAGAGTTGCCCAAGAAAAACAAGTGATCAATTAAAAATTGCCATAAAAATCCAGACTCAAACACAGAATAAGGTTGTGTCTTGGAAAACATGACAAAACGTCCATCTAACATAACAATAAATTCTTATACTAGTTGACTGTACTAGTGTATGAATTATATACTAGATTTCTTTTACCCTAACTGCAAATATATTAAAAATTATTTCTTCAATACTTTCTCTTTCCCCTAGTGGTGGCATTTAAGACTGAGTAACACTATTTAGCACTCAGTAATTTAGAGTATATAAAAAGGCTTTAGGAAAATTGCAACAATGGATTCATTTTCCATATACCATTTGATGGGATGAAGTCTCCTTTGGGGGGTACTGGTGAACAGAACATTTTTCCTTACCTAAGTTACTGCTTCTGGTCTCATCATGGACAGTTAATTCCCAAATCTTACGTAGACCCAGGTTTTCTTGGCAAACTCTTGAGCTACAGCACACAGCACAGCTATTTCATCTGTCCTGTTTGCAGTGAGGACCATGCCTCTCTCTTATGTCCCCAGATGGGTATATGAAAGAGAAATTTCCAAAGCCAAAAAATTTCCTTGGCATTGTATAACTCCTGTTCCTCCCTTCTCCACCCCACCCACTCACCCCCGCCCCCACCAACTTGCCAAATCCAAATCAAACAGTGAAAAAAAAAAAAGTCCAAGACTTGAAAATTCTCTCTCCTTCCAAGAGGTGTGAATACAGCTTATGTTGTTCCCTAATGAGTCTCAGTTTGAAGAGATCCTGATGATGGGCTGAAGAACAGAATAGGTGACAGGTTTTTATGTAGGAGGTATGTAATCTTATCACCGTGGGGTATTAATTTATCTGGACATTATATGCTCTCTGCTGAGGACTGATTCACACACAGAGCAAAGGAAGTTGGCCTTCTGGAGTCCCCTGAAGCATAAATAATGTTTGTAACCATGAGGAATTTTCCCCATATATGGCAGGGGTAGATGCTGTGGTGTCATCTTGGGGACTTTGATGATTTTAGCTGAGCTCTCTTACGCTGGGCCCAGGCCCCGGACAGTTTCTTCACCCTCATCCTCTTGGTTGGCAGCTGATGAGACAGATGCTTTGGAATTCATTTTACAAACAGGACGTAAAAGGCCATTACAACACAGGCGATTGCCACAGCAGCATGCAGCCTGGTTCCAATCACAGCGGCTGGCAGACAAAAGTAAAAAGAGAAAAGAAATCACACCCTGCCCTTCATTTAAGTCCTCACTTTCAAGGTGGTATTTTGAAATCTCTAGTCACAACAAAGAGACCTATCAAGGTTCTCAGGAACCCACCCGGGGATACATTTAAATACTATCCTTAAGCTCTAGGTTCTAGGTGAATATACTGTTCGTATTTTGCTCTATTTTGAAAAAAGATTTAGGTAGGTAGGACTTACCCTTAATAAAAAGTAAAAAAAAAATCTGAGTTAATGAAACTTAAAAAGAGACTCCCATATATTCTTTCCAGAAATTCAGAAAAACTTTTCATTGGGAAACTATTCCAACAGTTCTAGTCCAGTCTAAATGGCTTTAATTTAGATACGTTTACTCCGTGGTGAATATTAAAATTACCTGGATGCTAAAATAAATGATTATGTAAAAGTGGAGCCAAATGCAATGCCAGCCTGTCCCGCCCGCTACACTTTGTAGCACCCCACTCTCCAGAGATAGCCATCTCCTCTCCCTGTCCAGAGATGATCATACCTTTGTAAAACACACCCCAAACTCCCTTCTTCTCTGAGAGCAGCCAGGTTTTGAGACGAGGTACTTTCTTGAAGTAAGCACAGGTGCAAACAAAGAGCAAACCAAACACCAGAATCCCATCCAAGGAGTACACTGTTACAGAAAGAAAAACAAACACACACACACCTTTGGTACTAATTTAGCTTGTGATCCCATTTGGAACTCCAAGGAGAACAGAGTGATATAATATCCAGGTGATAAAATCAACCAGCAATGCCAACCCTTGACAACAGGGAGCCAAAATCCTGGGACTAACAAAGTTACTTCATTGTTTCCCAAATTGCTTGTAGACAATCCCCTCATAAAGATTTCACTGCACCCTCTCCTCCCCTTTCAAGAGCTACAAGTCCTGAGAAGAGTGCATCACTTTAGTGGAATCTATCTCCCAGGAATGGCCAGTGTTGGTAAGTTTGAGAGAGGCGTAAGAATCCTTAGAGCCTGAGCTGAGGAAAGTACCCATGTTCCTATTATCAATCACTCATGTGCTAAAGGAGAGCCAGATGGTTAGCCAAGTCTCTCAGATCTGCATTTGTTGAAAAATACGTTAAGGCAAAAGTAAAGCTTAATGGAAATAGCAAGGATTAGAATTCATAAACTACAGTTTTCCTATGCTTATCTTATACCTCATGCATGATACTCTACTTACAAACCAAATTTCTGCTAGAATAACTAGATTCTTGTAAAAAAAAAAAAAGTATCAGGTGTCGACATAGAACAATTGTGGAAAAAAGCTTTGAACAA